GCCATTATTGTGAAGGGCTTGCTGGAAGAGCTGAATTCTGAGGTGACCACGGACCGCCCTGGCCACAAGTGATTAACCAGCTAGGTGTCATTTTACACTCAGTTGCTGGGGTCCAGGGGACAGGGAGGAACCTCTGTGGTCTCTAAAACATGACTTTAAGTAGTTGTGGTTTGGAGAGTCAGAGAGGCAGCCTCCGAGTCTCATGTGGTGTGCAAGCACTGGAGTTTTTTACCTTTGGGAGTACCGATGGCTGAAAAAGCCCATACTTTTAAAGGAGTGTGTTCATTTCTTGCCTGGGCAACATCTGTGAGCTTTTTATGCATATCTACAATGTTCACTGTAAATCGGGAGGAGGGCTGTGTTATTTACCTGTGTGTACAAGTCTGCACTGGCAGGGCACATATATATTCAAATGGACACAGGACACTTGTCAGCTGTGGCAACTGCACTGCCCTGGTTATTTAAACAGTATTGTTGGAAGTGTTTTGCATTCTAGGGGAGTTTTATATTAATCTATCAAAAGCAGATGCCAGAGGTGATGTACATGTCTGAAGGACTAGGGCAGGACAGGGCACATACACACCAGGCATGGTTTGAGGGTACCAAGGAATTTCCATTCTGGGGCTCTCTGGCTGATCTAAATTCTGTCTGTTCCTTTGAAGAGACATTTTGGAAAGGGGAAAGATTTTAGATTGACCGAGTATGCCACAGCAGTAGCAGTTTAAAAACAACAAACCATCTAACCCTCCAACAAACAACTTGCTTATGAAAAAAAGAGCATCTGCCCCCCCAAATATTTATTTTTTACAATGTTTTTGAGATTACTATTTTTTAAGTCTTGGCAGGTGAGGCCTGGGCCACGTTCAGGTCATCATGCAGAACACCCAAAAGCACCTCACAAACCACAACAGACATGAGGTCCTCAGGGTGTATCAGTTCACAAATGAATGGGCCCAATATTCAGGTACCCACAGATACTACTCCTGCCCTGACCCAGAAACGATCTCTCAGAAACTCCAGGAAGGGAAAAGAGCTGAATGGAGACATCAGTCCCTCTGAAAATGGACTCAGCACCCTCTTTCCTTGTATTTGCCCACCCTCAGCAGGCTGGCTGGGAGCCTTGCAGTTTGCATTTAGAAATGAATAGCCAGGATCTGCCAACTGAACTTACAGGTTTGGCAGACACAGTTTCAGTTGCAGGACTCCTGGATCACGCCTCTGAGGAACAAAAGTCTAAGTGTATCTCTGAGCATTTCTTCTCTCAGCAGCTTCCCTTCTTGGTGCATTTTCTTTCTCTAAATAAACTTCAGGGTTTCCTCCTACAGGGGAAACCTTTAATTCTTTGGGCCAGTGGGGAGGGCTGAAGACCTAAGATAGCTAAAGCTAGAATAGAAAACATCTCCCCATTTCCATTCCCCCTGCTCTTTCTCATTCTCTTGCTTTCCCAGCTCAACCACCCAGCATTCAAATACAGCAGTTCTTCCACCCTATCCTTCTCTTCCGTATGAACTGTCCAGCCATTTTGAAGAGCATGGCCTTCATGTCACCAAAGTAACTCCCAGAAGGAACATGACACTGCCAACAAGACCAAGAAATGTTCCAAAAGAGATCCCCAAGGGCTGCCAGACTGTAAGCCACAGGGTTTGGCACTTGGCCCTCAGCATGCGTAGTCTCTGACTCCCAGTTCCTTTTGCGTTAGCCTGGGAGCAGGAGAGTGGGTGCTGACAGTTTCTCTCTTGGCTTTGGGTGGGCCAGGGTGCCTTTCAGCTGCACTTGCACGATTTCACCACCATGTTGGAGAGCTGCTCCACTTTGGGGGTCCTCCCGACATAGTACAAGATAGTGAGCGGCTCCAGGTCCTGGGGTACACAACAGGGTGAAGCAGATGCCTCAGGGTTCAGCGTGTTGTATAAGCCCAGCACCTGCAGAAACAAAGTAAATGTAGTCTCAAAGTCAGGAATACATTTAAGTTGATTGAGGACAGGAAGGGACTGCAAAGCCAACAGGTCTCTAGGTGTTTAGACTATGCTCATCAGAAGGTATTTCCTTGAGGCGAGTGATACTCCCCCGTCACTTCCTGATCGTGGCCTGCTTCTAAAGGGTCTCACCTGCCCTGGCCTGACTCTTAAGACTTTTTTCTTTTTAATTGTAGTAGCCTTGCTCTGTGGCTGATGCCCAAGGGTTGAAGGATTGCAAGCAGTTGTCTCCTTTCATCTCTAATTTGGTATGGTGGACAGTGTTACAATTTTTGCTTTTTAACAAGGCTGGGTGTAACCAGCCTGGGGCCATGTTGTCTTCGGTTCCATTAAAGTAAACCAGAAGAAAGAACATCAGTGCTGCTTATTTCAACTAACATCTCTAGATAGCACTGGATGGATGCCAATACTCTTGAGTATCCCTAATTCCCTCCCAGCTTTGAACTGTCTGATGCTTTGTCCCTCCACTCCATCCTCCAAGTCATTACACTATAATGCTGGAGCCAGGAGAGTGTCCTGTGGGACCCCACTGGATTCCTCCTCCCAGCTGGCCCCAGCCCACAGATGACTGTACACTTCAGCCATGTAACCGCTACAGAACAGTTGCCATGTTTCTTGCCAGAGGTGGCCACTTCTCAGCAGTAAGCAGCTCCTTGAGTTGTGGGGCCAAAACATGATCTCACCTGCACTACTGTGGTCTCATTAGTGCTTATCTGGTATAAATGACAGGGTCTGGCACATTGTCTTTTAACTACTTTACGGTCTTTGGGGATGAGAGGTGCTAAGGAGAAATCTGTTCTATCATCCAGATCCATATAATCACACTCATTCTGGTAGAAGCTCTCTGGGATACTCGGCAAAGTACCCTTGGCTATACCAAAGAGGCACCACGTGCTCTGGGGCCGCTCTACTCAACAGAGACAGTAAGTTAAACAGACTGGTGAGAAATCTTTTCACCATGTTTTTCCTAGGTGGTGCTGGCAAGCTGTCAGCAGCTATATTGTTCTAAAGGTTTGTTGGATCACTCAGCTGACCTTAACGCTTGATCATTTCCTTTCTTGCTCAAGAAAAGAACATTAGGAACCATTCTAAATTTTTTCTCTCACACTGATTCAGGCCAGTTATCTACTAGAGAGCTTCTCAAGAGAACCAGATGGTAAAGCTACGTGCCCATTACCCTTTCAAAGCTATTTATTCCCTTGCTTTGTCTTGTGCTTAATGCCCAGCATCTGTTCACTCCTTCATTCCCATAGATTGACTGTTCCCACTGATATTAGTCCTTGAGCTTCAGCAACCATTGCTGCTGTGCAGACTCTCAATCTGTCAAGAAACTGTTAGCATCTTTTCTGCAGTATCATCTTTGCTTCAGCGATGGCCTGCCTGTTCCTTAGTCTGTCTTCTTCCCTTGGTACTTCTCCCTTGCCTGTGCTTTTCTATTGCTTTTATTTTCTTCCATTGTAGACAGTAGCCAGGCTCAGGTAGTATTCTTCCTAAAGGCTGCCTAGTGTACTCATGTTAAACAGTGGTTATGTGTAAGTTACCTAAACACATTTGCTTTCTGCCGGTTTTTATTCATGAATCTCACTGCCTCGTAGGTTCCTCCCTGCCATAGGTCAGGTGGGATTTATACAGCTGGAAAGGATGCCTGTGCAGAAAGGAGACCTTACTGCATGGCTGTGTTCACTTGCAGACATGGACATGGATTTCCCTTCACTTTTGGGCTAAAGCTGCCCCTGTGGTAGCAGATGGCAGCTGTGTACCACGACACAAAAGTTTTGCATGACAACCTGACACAGAGCACAGAAAAATCCTCTATCTAGTGCAAACTGCAGGAGAAATTTAGGCAGAAGATAATTACCAGAGTTGACATTTGATGTGAACAACCAAGTTAATACTCTGGTTATTACCAAGTACCCTAAAACCATCAGTCCTGCTGTTTCACATCTTATCCAAGAGACAGCATCCTCCTCCTCAGCATTTGGCTGGAAGCATGGACTCAGTATTGACTCCAAAG